GGCCTATTATCTAATCCTCAAAACATCCCTGTCAAACAGGTGAGTATAATTCTGATATTTACCAATTAGGACACAGGGAGAGATTAAATAACTTGCCCAAAGACACCTAGTGAGTCTACAGGACAGTCAGGATTAGAACTCAGAACTTCCCCATTCCTAGCCTTGTGCTAATCCCACCATCCCATGCTGACTTGGCATCATGTGTTAGTTCATCCATAAATTTATGAAGCTGTTTCCTCACCTTAAAATTTTATATTGAATAATTCAAGTATAATCTGTTTCTAAGTATCTCTCTCTCTCTCTCTCTCTCTATTACGGTTGTTTCATTTTTAATATTAGAACATACAGTTTATCATTTTCTTTTATTTATATAAACTTACAGACATTACTATGGTGCTTATTACAGTTGTTTTCTATTTATTAGGGTCAGGTGAAAAATTCACAGCAAATAAAGAGTTCAATAATTTTTTCTTATATTACTGTTCCAGAATGATCCCAAAGCAGAATGCAATTTTCTCTTATTATTCTAAATTATTTGCTGTGTTGTGTCCACTAGTAATATCAGCTCTGTACCTCATTTGTTGCAAGTACTGAAACTCAAACTGCATTAGACTAGATTTGACACAAGTGATATGGCATGTCCCTGTTCTGACTGGATGAGTGTACTCTTACTATCATGTTTCTGCTCTGAATATTCACTTTTCTGAGTTTTAAGTTTGTTTTCCATGATTATATAATATTTGTCCAGATTCATTCTCCCAGCAAACATTTCCAGCAGTTAACTTGTTTGCCAGAAGATTAATGGAAAGCAAAATCAACAAGTTACAGAAATACACTAAAAAATTATTTAAGAAACTGAATGAACATCTGAACAATCTTTTACCCAGCTCTGCTATTCATAGGGTGAAGGATAGCTCAGTGGTTTGAGCATTGGCCTGCTAAACCCAAGGGTGTGAGTTCAATCCTTGAGGGGGCCATTTAGGGATCTAGGGCAAAAATCTGTCTGGGGATTGGTCCTGTTTTTTGAACAGGGGGTTGGACTAGATGACCTTCTGAGGTCTCTTCCAACCCTGATATTCTATGATAGTGGTATCGTGTATTATGTTCATCAACACTAACAGCATACACATTACAATGGAAACATTCTCAGGGAGAGAGAATTTAAAGCCAACTGGTCAGTAATGTTTATGACCAGCATATAGGAGCCAGGGAGGAAGGGAAACAAGTCACATTAACAAAACTAAAAGCTACAATTAGAAAGGAACAAGGAGTTACAGCATTAACATTTCTAACAATCGAACACTGTTTTTCTTTGTTGAAAAGCAGTATTTCATATGGTAACGTCCACCTTTGCTTTATATGTTCTTGATGCACTTGACAGCTTTGTCAAAGAGAGAAAACAATATTAAATTGCAGAAACTCAGACTTCAGATCAACAATTTCCCCAGATGCTCAGCTACAGTCTTGGATATCTGAAAAAATCCATGAAGGGATTGTCTTGTTTCACAGAAACTCAATTTTAGTCAGTGGAATTCACCCTTTAGGGCAGAAAGTCCCCTGAAGAACAGGTGGAATTAAAGAACCAGGACTGTACTTGAACTGCAGCAAAATAACATATCCCAAACCACCATAGTGACATCACACTTAAATAGAATGCAATGATAAGGGATGTAACTTATTGCTCAAATGGCTCATTTGCTCTTAGAAACAAGCATATTGATGATAATTGAGTGTTTTTTCAAGGTTCTCTTAAACCACAGCAATCCAGATAAAGAAGAAAAATTTCTTATGCCACATTTGTACCAAGTACTGTATTATCAATGAGCTTCTGCAGTACAAAAAGCTTGCAGCACTTCACTCAGCTCAAGTAGTTCCCCTCCACAGAGATTAGCAACCTCATCTGACATGCACAGTATTTCAAATTCTGATACATCATCATTTGACATCAACTCATCTCTATTGGTCAAACTTTTAAAACCAGTCCTTCCATGTAAACAAAAATGCCACAACGCACAAGAATCTGGGTACAGACTATGTAGTCATTAATAACTATTCCTCTCTGATGATCCATCTGTTATTCTCTTCTCCGATCCATATTACAAATCTCCATTTCACATTATGTGCTACATTTGCATGCCTTTCCTACTGAACGATATTTCAGATGTCAGATCACTCCCATGACACACTCTCCCTCTTGCTCACGCCCCATATATAATAATCAACTCTGCGTCCAGTACATAATCCCCAAGTTGCATTCTGGCGTATATATGTTTTACATCTGAACTAACTCCGAATATTGTAGATATAAATCTGTTTTCACAGTAAAGTATTCTTTCCTCCTCCTTCCAGATGAGCGCTTTAGTAAAATTATTTTACTTAATTAAGTGTAAATATATCTATACACATTTCTTATATATAGGCACGGTGTCCCTGCATGGTATTTTAAAGCTCAGCTTTGAATTTATGCTAATACTTCGCTACTGGATGATCACACTTTCCTTAGGACAGTAAAAATGGTTTTAGGACCAGATTCCATTGCTGGTGTGATACAAAGCAGCCAAAGCACAGGGTTAGAATCTGGTCCATGATTTTTATTTTTTGGAAGCCTATTGTACCCTCATTGCACTTTTAGTAACATTGATGAGATATTCACATGCACACACAGATTCATATATAGTTTTTCTACTAAGGGACTTCCATTCTATTCAAAAGGAGGGAAATATTTTTCTAAATCTACTAGTGACTTTATGTGAACTGATGGAATTCTGACCCTATGTTTCACTTCTGTCCACACTGAAATATAGAATGAAGTAGTCTATGAAATACCCAGCTTTAAAGTTCACACATCCTCTCTATATGTAATAATTTAGTCCCTTTAACATTAGTCTTGATTCACAGTTACTGGAATAGTGTCAGTAGTTCTAAAGAGCTCTGAAATCACAAAGCAATAAGTTGCATTATATCACTTGCAGCTGAAATGATAAGGGAAAGTATGTAATGTTCAAATTCTAGGGCCTGTTCCTCTCTCCATAATGTCCACAGCAATCGATCCTGTTGATATCAACACCACATACTGAGGAAAGAAAGTCTCTACAAGCTTTATGGTGTGACTGAGATATGAGCCTGCTTTTGTACAGACATAGTAAAGGGGGACTTGTCAAATAATTATTCTATAAGATTATGATTAACAAAGAGGTATCTTCTCTTCCTTTGTTCTCAATTCCTCTACTTGCGTATCACTGTCCTATAAGAAAAGAGGGGTGCAAAATCCCAGGTAGTTCCTTTATAGGCCTTTCTGAGTTCCCATGCCACACTGTGTGCTGAACAAGCTATTTTAAAATTTGTATATATGTGACAGTTTGTACAGTAAAACTATAGGGCCCAGTATTGTGGATTCAGCATCTAAGAATCAACACAAAAAAGCCAGGCAAAGTGAGTTTAAATAGGACAACTAGCTAAGGGATTTACAAACTATAACATTTCACACACGAAGATCAGCCAGTAGGAGTATCATATTGACTGGCATGGCTGCCCTCGCTCCTTTTTTTAAAGCTTAAGGGGTCATTGAACTCTTACTTTTGATATTTGGGAACCAAACACAATCCTTTTCCTCCGGCCACCTTTCCTGCACTGGGATTGCAAGCATGCAAAATAACAGAAAACGAGAAGAGGCACATGACCAATTCCAATATAATTATCAAAT